GGGGGGGGGAAGAGATTCGGAGCAGACGGCTCCCCACGCCGAGCGGTTGGCACACAGCAGGCCTTGGTTTACCTCTTATGATAATAAGCGAGACCTCCAGCAGCGCCTCCTCCCTCCTCCTCCTCCTGCCCTGATCTCATCCCGAGCACCACACTGCCATCTGACACACTGAACCCCTGACACCGATCCGGAGGAGCCAGGCTGACTGCAACACACTGAATGAAAACAGTATCATCCACCAGGGACGTCTGGAGCGATAGCCACCGTATGCCTTTATATTTAAACATCAGTCAAGACTGCTGGGAGAAGCTGATATCCTGCTTAGAGGAGCAAGAATAAGAGGCAGCTGTCTAATAAACGAAATGTATAGAATTTCCTACGGTGTGTGTCTAGTTTATAAACAACTCCTTAAGTCCTGACGATAACCACAACACTACTAAGAGCAGGAAGCACATTTTGTTTATTTACCTGCCTCTAGTGGCTAATGCATCCTTAAAAACATCACTCTCTCTCCAGCCAAATAAACTGACGTATTACAACAAGGCTTCCGTTAAGGGACACATTTGTTCATTTGAAAACATACACAAGCCCAGGAAGATTTTAGTTTGTGGGTGTGATTCAATGTTCAACACTAGGAAACCCAGAGATACGGTTATTGCGGTCACAATAACACAAACCACCTTGTTCCCAGAGTGACCACATCTAGAACGTCAACAAAAGTCGATATATAGTGAGGAATATCTCCAGATAAGTGGATGCAAGACTGAGATTAAATAATAAGCAGGATATGGTTCACTGTTCAAACAACGGTTGCAATAACTGCATGACAACAGCTGCATTATACAAATGACAGTTAATGATCACAGCCTCCATTACAAAACAAAACAAACATGGAGGGCTGTAACACATTGGCTAACAAAGTGGTAATAGCTAACTAACTGTAACCAACTGTGAGAGCCTGAACTAAAGTGATAAATGTCTAAATCATGTCACAATAAAGCAATAATGTGAGCAAATACACCCACAAAAACATACAAGACGACAAGAGACCGGGGTGTTTTTTCCCCCTTAATGCATTGCGGCAGCAGTGTGTTGACATTTCTGCCAAAATACAATCAAAAAAGAAACCCGCTAGTGCCCCCTTGCCCTGGTCCTTTGCAATTACGCCAACATAAAAGGCCCACAGTCCTGACAAGACAGAGACAAAATGTCGGAATTGCCGAAGTCACGTGACTCCTTTGTACTCAGAAAAGCCACCTCACACACAAATAAACCGGAGAAATCGGGTAATTTTATCACATAAAGACACAACGGACCCCCGCGTGACCCAAACGTTAAACCACAGTCACACATAACAGCCCTTTACAAAAGAAAGCCGTCGTGTTTCTCCTGAGAAAAATTGTCGGCCATTTTGTGAAAGCTTGCGCAGGAGAGAAAAAAAAAAGAAAAAAAAAAGAAAAAAAAAAAAAAAAGGAGGGACGCCAAAATAAAAAATAAACCAAAAGCATATATTTTTCCACAATTCCGGACGGTTAGAAAAGCATACCGATTCCTCTTCTTTCTCCATCCCCGTAGGCATCTGTGGCACGGCCCGGTTAATGGACGCATATTCGTGTAGGTCGGGTAAATCCTCACAACGGAAGACGGGTAGCGGTTTGGAAGCGTCCAGCGCCCGTGCCCGAAACGACAGTTTACTCATTTTAATCCCTCACAATTCGAGATGCAATATAAATCTATCGGATCTCCCAATACTCAAAACGGTACCGAGTGGAGCGTTCATGGATGTTTCTGGTGCGGTTATATCTCTTGTTCTAACGGTTGGATTGTTGTAGCTTGGTATTTTAGGGCGTCGCCAAAACGGAGCCGAGAGGAAAAGGCCCGGATCTTGGTCGCTCTCTCTCGGACTGTTTTTTTCCGACGCTCCGCTCTCCCCTTATCGTTTGGTTCAGTGCGCCATAGACAACATGGCGGACATTTAAAACTCTTTTGCTCTGGTTTCGCTCGGAGCGGTCCAACCCCCAGTTCGCGGACCGACCATTCCCACACGATCCCGAGCGCTTGCGCGTTGCGGGGGTGTGGGTGTGGGGGGAAGGGGGTCATTTTATTATCACAAAAATAACTCCTCTCTCCACACATGCACGTACATTATTTATATTCACGTAAGGCATAGGAGAAATATATATTAATATATATTGCAAATGAACAAAATGGACTGTGAAAAATAAAATACTTAATAGAAAATGTTAAAAAACAAAACGTATAACTTATATTCAATTACTAATAATAAAATATATATTGCGCTGATAAAATAAAAAATAAAAACACTGAATAATAGATTATGAAAAATAAAAATACAGAATAGAACATTTAAAAAGAAAAAAAAACAAAATCAATCATTAATAATAATTTTATATATATATATATATATGCCAAAACAGACGAGTCAATTTATTAGTGTACAACAAAAAATAGTTATAATTAATGTCATGAGATTTTGTAAAATTTCCAGCACTCAATGATTAGATCAATGGTATTAATTATCAAAAATGTAGTGTTGCTAATTAATATTATACATTTATTGACTTTGCAGTCCATATTTAATTATTAATTATCCGTTAAATCATAGTTTGTTTTTACCAGACCTCTCAAATCATGAGAAATCAAAGCTTGAGTATACAGTTGTATAACTTTTGTTTAGCTATGCATTGATATTATAGAGAATATTAAAAGTAGTTTTAACTTGTTTATTAATAAAACAGGCTCCCCTCAGGAAATACAGTATAAACTACCCTCGTAAAAAAAGTTCTAATTAAATCCCAGATTATTATTATTTTAAATTCTAAACAATTCCACGTTTTAGCACAATACATTACTCTGAAGGTTTCTTTTATGGTGGTTGGTATTATGCTTGAGCAACAAATCCCTTATGAGGAGAACAAGACACACATTCCACACTATCCACTCCGGGCAACGCCTGAACTACCTCAGAAGTAACTGCTGCTGCTGTCCAGATCCACTGAACCTCACCCATCACTGGTGATCCTTTAACAGCCCACTTTATAAAAACTTTATTCCAGGTGAAACGCTTTATGGCGACATGTTCCAACACCTGAACAATGTCGCCCTCTTCTGGTCCGACAGTCAAAAGATCAGACTTTCAGGACACCAACATGTTTGAATTCAGAGCACAGACACACTGCAACAAACCACACTGCAACAAATCACAAGCTCAATATTTGCATTCAAAACAGCACTGTGCGGTTCCACCAGCACGTGTATTATTCAGTTTGAGAACTGATGGTTCAGCTAAAGAGTACATGTAGAGTGCTAATTAATAACATTTCACAATCATTAGAACACCTTACCTGTTGATGACATGAGGTTTAGCCGGGGTCCACCCACCCCTCTTCTCATCATTAAATCCATCATGAGGACCTGGGAGCCAATTGAGAAACGCAACAAGAACATTTAGCCAAAAACTCTGCACTTTAAAAAGAAACACAATGCTTTAAAAAATACATTTTGAGAACTAAGTTACAGGAAAAGATAAACCAAGCGGCCCGCAAGTCAAACTCAACTTAGACTTTTCACTTGTTGATTAAAGAGGTTTAGGAGAGGGTCGTCTGGGTGGAGCAAAGTAGAAGCATCTAGTCCACCACCTGATTATAATTGTCCGCATTGGTCAATTGGTCGAACCCTCCAACGACCACACCTGGCTGGATTCATGGGCATCGCTAAAGGGACTGTTGTGTTCAGGCAATTCACATGAAGCTGATTTATTTTGTTTTGAGTGACTCCATTGTCACTTAAACTTCCACCATAATCTTCTTATCGACTTATTTCTGAAACCCCATTTAAAAAAAACCCATTGACTTTGAGATGAGGGAACCAGAAGTGCAACAATTCAAAGTCCTTTCCAGGTTTTAGGACTCACTCCTGCAGCACTCCATTAGTGAATGTTAGCGTGCTACCACACCGAGCTAGAACAGTGAACACAGCATGTTAGCAGGCCAACGCTAACGTTGAGTCCCTGATGTGGCTGTAGAGTATAATATGATATGTGTAGAGTAAAAGGGGAACTCTAGTAACAAACCCAGTGCTGCTCGAGGTCTCTGAGTCTTAAAGGTTCAATAGGAACCTGCCGACATACATTTCCCAACAATTCACATGTCACCCGTCCCCAAAGTGACCGTTCCTGGTGTTTATTATTCATTATCAGGACGGATTTCCATTATGCAAAGCAGCGTTTTCACCATGAAGGCGGAAGAAAATGAAACCCCAAGAGAATAATTCAAATGTTATTATTAACGAGTCATTTATAGATACTTTAGTCCATATTACCGATCCCTCAGAATGTCTCATCCTAACCGATACATCATCAATACAGCAGTGTCAGCGATATTGTGACGCATTCCATCTTTAAACCTTTTCCCCGAGCTGTCTGGTAGGTGAGCCCCTTGATGTTTGGATGGTGGATGATGTTACTGTTAAGAATCAACATGTCTGCTACATTCTGTGTCACTGGAAGCGTAATATAAATGCAGTCACTTTAATATTGATGCCGGCTTTATTGAAAATGTAACTTCTCATGTTAGAGGTTTGTTCCCCCTTTACTTACACTGATATTAAGCTGTACTGTGTATAGACATGCTTTAATTACCAGTCTAACTACTAATATTTAAAAAGTCAGGCATACGAGTGTCCTCTGATTATGCAAACATGACATGAGCCTGGATGAACTAGTGGATGGATGTCTTCCAACGTTTAGTACGAGTATTATCCCCCTTTTATGAGTCCATGTAGGGAGAGGATCTACTGTGGGTTACTGTAAATAATGCAGGATATGAGGGATGCAGGACCAGGTAAGACCAGCGCCAAGCAAGACCAGGGCCAAGCAAGACCTGGGCCAAGCAAGATCAGGCTAGAGCACGACCAGGCTAGAGCAGGGCCCGGCAAGACCAGGGCCATGCAAGACCAGGGCCAAGCAAGACCAGGGCCATGCAAGACCAGGGCCAAGCAAGACCAGGGCCAAGCACGACCAGGCTAGAGCACGACCAGGCTAGAGCACGACCAGGCTAGAGCAGGGCCCGGCAAGACCAGGGCCATGCAAGACCAGGGCCAAGCAAGATCAGGCTAGAGCACGACCAGGCTAGAGCACGACCAGGGCCCGGCACGACCAGGCTAGAGCAGGGCCCGGCAAGACCAGGGCCATGCAAGACCAGGGCCAAGCAAGACCAGGGCCAAGCAAGACCAGGGCCAAGCAAGACCAGGACCAGGCAAGATCAGGGCCAAGCAAGACCAGGACCAGGAAAGACCAGGGCCAGGAAAGACCAGGACCAGGAAATACCAGGGCCAAGCAAGACCAGGGCCAAGCAAGACCAGGACCAGGCAAGACCAGGACCAGGCAAGACATCAAGCAGTTCCCCAGCAGACCACAGGGACTGCCTGGCACTGTTTAGCCACACACCCTAAGCCTCTGATCCAACAATGTTATACACATTTCCAACCAAAGATGAGGAACGTATTGGGGGAAATTATGACACAAATAATCTCTGAAGCAGTCCTCGACTCCTCACCTTGTTTCCTCTCTCCTTGTTACCTAGATCACAGACATTCTAGCTCGGCCATTAACGTAACAACTAGTGAATTAGATTCATGTTTTGATGCATTAAAAACACATTATTTAGCCTTAAATCGGTCGATATCACGAGTGATGATAACTTTGGATGTTTTTAGTGCTGAATCGCATCCAGCTGACCAGGAATCTGATCGCGTGCAAGAAATCATCTGATGCCACCAAACACTATTCACGATGGGGCCTTTTCTTTTTTTCAAGCGATCATCGATTCAAGTTACAGAAAAAAACATTACAAGAAAAAAAATACTCACCGAGTGGATCATTTTGGTTCTACGTTTGGAGGATTTTAAAGACAAACGGGCAACATTTCTACCAGTTAAAATAAAGAAGAAGAAGAAACGCAACACGACGCAGCTAGAGAGACAACTAACGTGAACGGTAGCCGCGGATACTTCTTCTACTATGATACATAAATAAAAACAAACGGTTGTCCGGTGTCCCGCTGTCCGCTTCTTTTTACATCCCCCTCGTCAAAAAAGCGTTTGTCGATGTTTTCCTGACGATGCAAAGCAGGATTGAAACTCGAGAGGTGGACACTAAAGTGCTACTGTTGGGGGTTAACAACTTTGCTGTAAAACGCGGCCTGTGATTGGACGGACGAAGCCACCAATCACCTGTGTGCTCATGTCGTCACGTTCCACAGGGGATGGAACGCGACGTGATTGGCTGACAGCTACGATGAGGCGTTTAGCTCTTAGCAGTTTTGCTTATTTTATTTTTATTTTTACCCACTAAAGTCACACTTTTACATCTTAATTTAGATTTTTTTTAATCTCAGTCTTTGATTTAGACTTGCTCCTCATTTTCTTTAGTTTAGTCTATTTTGTACAATTTAAAAAATACTAAATGATATACACCTGTTAAATATGTATTTCTTTGTATTAATATCTTTTACAACTTACAGAAACACTTGGATGTTTATGCACATCTTTTATGTTACTGGTGTTGGTGCTTTATCATAGATATTTATAAATATATAGACTTTTTTTTTTAACACATACATACAAGTCATGTCTATTTCCTTAATTGTCTTGTTCTTAAACTGCTGTATCTATTTCTGTGTAAGTACATTGAGAGCAAATACAACTTTATTTCTAACAATTTATCTGGTTGACTCATTTGCATCTTCTTGTCAGTCTGACTAACGTGCTTCCTCATCAAGTCCATGCGCGTTAATAACAAGCCTCCTGTAAGAAGAGTAAAACAAAAACACACCAGTGGGTAATAACAAGTCCACAAAACAGCAATTGTACAATAATATCTTAACAATATAGGGGTAAATTGTTTTCAATGTTTATTCAATAAATAATTTCAGAAATACAGAATTGCAAATGTGAATTGTTGAATTTAAAAAAAAAGGCACTTAAAAACAATGGTGTTACCTTTTTCTTCTTTTCAAACCTTCGAGAGATCTAGAAATCATTCCCTTCCCACTGATCTTTACAACTAAATGACATTAAAGTCACTCCTTTTTAAAAAAAAAAAAAAAAATGTTTGATCGAGGCACCACAAAAGAGTTCGGTGGAATTACTGAGACAGAGAACAATTCATATCCTACAAAGGCATTTCAAGAAAAGCAAATTTAGTTAGCAAATAAGGCAGGTTTTGCGTGTATTTGGCTTTGCTGTGAAGAATTAAGGACCTGAGTTGGCTTTAAATTAAGTAAAACCTGGAGCCACACAGTAATACGACCGTACACTGACGTCCTTTAAAAGGCAGCTCGGGAAAATATCTTTTTCAAGAGAAAAGACATTTCAATTGATTGTTCAGATGGAGTTAAGTCACTCAGACAAGACACATCAACGCCTTTCCATCCCATTCTGTGAATACATATATGGCTTAACACAGAAACCAAAGCACACTGTACACATTTCATTGCTACCACGCGCAGCCAACCGGCGCTACGTCTGAAGAGTTTCAATCCAAAGAGACATTTTAAACAGAGTCAAAATGATTACAGACAGACAGACAGACTTTTGCTCAACTGTGTTTTACAAACATTGACTTTTAGATTGCCACTCAACGCTGTATTCATAATTATTTGGAAAGGAACCCTTCATTTGTTGCCCGTTATTAACCTTAAACAAACTTGATGGTTCTATTAAAAAAAGAAAAGGCACAGCGAGGCTCTCCGCTACCTTGTCAGAAAACTACAAATCAGTTCAACACATTCTCTCAAGTTCTGCAGAGGCAAAAAAAACACACATTTATACAGACTGTACAAAATTCAGATGATGCATAGAAAATAAAAAAACAAGTTAGTAAAAACAAACCGAAATAGTGGCAAAATGCATTACTATCGTTTGGTGACTACAAGAAACAAAAAAAACAAACAGAGTGAGAGCATTATAAAACCCGCCCCCCGCCCTCCACCCCCCCACCCATGTTCTGTTCCATACAGTGATGTCACAAGGAAGGCAAAGCTGCATCATTTGCCCTCGTACTTTGGATTGACGACAGTTGTTACGGCACTTTTGTAGATCGGATTCTCCCCCTGAGAAACAGAAGGACAAGAACAGTGAGTACAGCAGATCAGAACTCATACCAAGTATTCTGGTTAACACATTTAACACAGCACGCGTCAAACCCGTTATTTTTTGTGGCGTCACAATAACACAATTCCAACAGCAGTAAGCTCAACATGTTAAGTTTAAGTCTCAATGGCAGCAACAAAGTATGTTTTGACATCGTCGTTATCACCATCTGGTCAAATATGATGTGTGAAATGAGTTCAGCTGACTCTCCACTCTGTCTGTTATAATCCTTCACTACTACAATCTGCACACAGGATTCTGATAATCTGCCCTCTGCAGGTGTTGTGGCAGGAATGACGAGAAGAGACGTAGTAGTTGGAGTTTGCAACCAGCGGGAAGTGTTACACAAGGTAACACTCAACAAATCCAAAGTATTAGTTCTTACAGCCTCCTCTTATCGCCTAAAGTCAGCCCCTTATGTCACTTTCCACCAATCAAATCCGTTGATTGAACCACAAACAGCACATCTGGTCTCCTCATTATGTCATGCTCTCCTGTCCTCGTCTGGGTCAAGACAACATTCTGGCAGAACAAATGATACATGTACGCAAAATGTTTGGAATCAATTGGAATGATATATTCCAATTTGTCTGGCGCGACTTTATCACTTTCTAGGAATGTTCTTATGAAACCAAGTGTGCCAAGTTCAACATAAGTTATATGAGGGTTTTCTTCAACACAGGTGCACCTGAAGTGGGATTTGTTGCTGCTGAACCCTCCTGTTCTAAAAAGTGAAGTCCATGCAGACGTGCTTTAAAGCTGCATTCTCTCTAGTGTCCACCAGGGGGCGACTCCTGTGGTTGTATAGAAGTCTATGAGAAAATGACTACTTCTCTCTTGATTTATTACCTCAGTAAACATTGTAAACATGAGTTTATGGTCTCAATCTCTAGTTTCAAGTATTCTTCAATACAGCATGATGTTCATTTAGTACATTATGGTCCATTTAGAGTCAAACAGACCAGAAAGCAGGGTTTGCTTTAGGGCGGGGCTACCTTGTGATTGACAGGTTGCTACCATTGAGTTGTCCGGTCGGGGAGTTGGCCGTGTTTTTTTTCTTAACAAGTGTGTCATCAGTTATTGAAAGTTAATTGTAATATTTTGGTCGCCTACAAATGTCTTATTAAGCGTTCGCTTTCACTTAGAACACATCACACCAACTTTAGTAACAAACAGTTGCCCCCTGTGGTTAAGCATGCTAGTCTCACAACATGCAGCTGCTCTCCACAAGGACGACCGGCGATACAAACTTTGACCTAAAGAGAAGCTCCTTTATTCCCGTAGCTGGGATTCTGGAACTGGTTAATAGGACTCTTGTAAATGGGGTTCCCTTGCTAACATGGAGAAGGGAAAGGGGAAGATGAGAGGTGGGGTGGGAAACAGAGGAAAAAAAGAAATGAAGAGACACAGGAAACAGTAAAAGGACGGACTCAAAACTATGAAGGAAAATGTTCAGCACAGAGCAGAAAAGGCCAGAAAGTAACTCTTACAGTAACTCATTTGCTGTTTAATACACTAAAAATGTTCCTCCTGTAACTCAGATTCCCTTTGTGTTGTAGTCACTTATTTCCTCTTTCCTGTAAAATGTGAGTTGTAACGCTTCAGAAGGAATCTATATTTTATATTTCCTTTCGTATTATTTCAGTTTTGTTCGCAAAAAACAACAAAAACCCACAGCGTCTCTGGGCTTAAAGTATACAGCTAGATATAAATAACACTTGTTTCCCATAAAAAGTAAAACTAAAAACCATGAGCACATCGCTGGCAGCACATCGCACTATCTTGCTCCAGCATGTTTTATTAGGAGAGAATACAAAAAGCCCATTCATCACACTGGCTGTGATGAATGTCCGTTGCCTCCCGTCGGGCCATAAACACTGCTGCTGTGACTACACACGGTAGTGGAGCCCTCCATCAACGGTCACCCAGCAGTCCTCCTCTTGCTCTGCTTCATTGCCTTGTATGGTCATGCAGTTGTACCATGTGGACAGTGAGAGGCAGCACCGTCAGCAGAGAGGAAGGCCGCTCCCTCTCAGCCAGTTCAGACTCAACAAAGCTGCACAGAGCCGAGGTTGATCAAGGACAGAGTGAGGAGATCCTCTCTGAATCTACCTCACTCTCTCTGGTTTAAATCCCTCTTCTGTTTCCACACCTTATGTACATTTTCCTGCAGATTTCTTCATGCGTTTGACTACAGAGCCATAAATGCTCAGGGAGAAACATGCGATGTTTGATGCTTTTAGATTAAATTCAAATATCAATTATGCAACGGCTGAAATAACGCTCGCTGGCCGGCTTCAGGTAATCGTCATCTGAAATGTGGGAACGGTTAAAGCTGCTCTGGTGCGACCGACTCACCGTGTCCCACTTGGCGTTCATCTTCTCCTTCTCAAACTTGGCGAACTCTCGGCGGTCGTGGATGATCATGAGCAGCTTCCAGATGAGCAGCAGGGCGAGGCCGATCAGCACAATGCCGGCGACCACACCGGCCACGATGGGGATGATGTCGGGTCCCGCCGGGCACTCTGAAACAGAGAAAATGTATCATTGAGGGCTAACAATTGTGTTTAATGCATTTATTTCTTCATAACACATCTACAAAGCTCAAACCTTCATGTTTTACAAGGCTGTTTTGCTAGCAGTCCTCTTCTTTGCCTTTTAAAAACTCCACATGGTACTTTTTACTTAAAAACATACCCAGTGTCTCCACCACGTACACCTCCTTGGTGTCGTTCCGGATGGCGTAGGTGTAGTAGAACCAGCAGTCGTTGGCGTCCCGCTCTTTGCAGTGAGTCAGCGGGAAGCTCTGGTCGGTCGGCTGAGGCAGCTTGTCGCGATCCTTCACCTTGATCAGCTGGAAGTAGCTGCAGACGCTCTCACACGTGTCCTTCTTCTCACCGGCGTCGAACGCTCGGCACTGCACGCAATCTCTGTGAAGACACAGGCGGAGGGTTGATTCACTCGAGTTACTAATCTGATATACAGCATCTACAGATCACAATTCAACTGTCTCAACCTGGAATTTAACTTTTAAACTTTCGTGATATTTCACAATATCTCTGACCAACGGTAACTCTACATTTTTAGATTCCAGAATTTTGCGTTTCTAGCCGAGCATGCGAGCTTCAGACTCACTTGTGCTCAGCGCAGACGCCGGGGCAGGTGGGGCAGATCTCGCAGGTTGGACCCTGGAACTTGTGGTTGGTGCATTTGCAGATGCCGCATTCGCAAGTACCGCGGCCGTTGCAGATCTGGCCGTTCTTGGCGAGGCAGGTGGCGGTCTCCAAGGAGCAGTCGCAGGCACTGCCCGTGTAGTTGGCATCGCAGATGCACTTCCTGCAGTCACAGCGGCCGTGTCCTGGGAAAGCACAGGAAACGGTTACCACAGAGTTTAACAACACAACAGGTTGTCAGACTTTCAAGTAGTTCTATTTCTACAACCCTCACCTCCGCAGAGCTTATTGTTGGAGCGGTCACAGTTGAAGTTGTCGCACTCACAGTGCTTGCCGGTGTAGATCTCCGCAGGATTCTCCCGCTTCTTACACTCGCAGGTGCCGCACACACAGTCGCCGTTGTTGCTGCAGATATCCGTACCGTTGTCTTTTCGGCAGTTAGCGTCCAGGTCCTCCGTCCGCACCTCGTCTTTGCTGCACTCGCACTCACGCCCGATGCGTCCGTCGTTACACCTGACACAGGAAACGGGAGGTTAACTAAAGTCCAACATTGTGAGCAGAATCATTCAAGTAAAGCACAGTGGTCTGAACCTACATTAGAGTTGAGAAAGTCAAAGATGCAGCTTTTCATACCATGTATAATGGCACCAGGTATTTCTAATAAGTAGTTCCCTTTTCTGGTTAGAGATACAGAGTCATGGTTATATCAGGAGTGGCTGTATCTTAGCTGAATACGTACTTGCAGGCTCCGCACTCAAAGATCCCGTTGCCCTCGTGGCATTTCTCACTGTCGGGCTCTCCTTTAGCGGCGCACTCACAGTTGCAGATGAAGTTCAGGACTACCTCCACCTCCTCGGTGAAGCCCAGTGGTTTAATCTTAATGACTTCAGGGTTGCTCTGCAATGGACACTTCTGGAATTCAACGGAAATCTTGAAAGACACCTGGGGAAGCCAGAGGAGGGTTTATAGGGTCATTACAACTATTAGGAGGAAGCCTTGAAGTTTATCTTTACATTTCTCAGACATGACTCAGATTATTTGAGGTGTTTCTCATTTATTGTTCGTCTTGTTTTTCTTTTACTAAATGCATTTGATTTGAACCTTTTTGTCTCTCAATTTGAAGCAGGAAATTCCCAGAGACAACACTAGCGTAGGGAGGACACCCAGGCTGCTGCCAGCGATTGAGCACTTGCACCACTTGTGTTGTGTTGCCAATGCTTTCCCCACTGTGCAACGTAGGTTTACCCATGAGTTGGGATGCTTAAGAATCACAAATGTCATTTTCACACATGCAAACAGATTGCAGCAAAAAGAACGACATCTACCTCGTCTCCGATGGAGATGTTGGAGCACTTCCTGCCGTTCTCCCCCGTTCCCTCCACACCGTTCTTACAGATGGACTTGTAGGTGATGGAGACTCCTTCTGGCAGCCTGCCGTTTTCCAGAATGACCTCGGATGACAAAGACTGTCCAGAAACAAGAGGGATCAAACAATCGCTAAAGGCTCTAGTGATATAGGTCGATCATAATCTAAGCATACAAGCCTTTTCCATGCGGTAACCCAGCTTCACAGTGCCGGGCCTTATTAATACATATGTAATGGAGTAAAATGGACAGCATTCATGTCACCTGAATGTGTGCGTAGTATTTAATACCAAGGAGAAGTAGTCACAAGAATATTTCCCTCTCTTTCATGAGCTCTTGAGGGGGATTCACTGTAATCTGTATTTAGCCCGGGAATCTTTAAAAAGGATGTTGAACATTTTCCCCACAAGATGTAACGTCATAAAATAAGTCAGACGTGATGTTTGACTCACGTTGTAAGCGTCAATAATGAGTTTGATGACGTTGCTGGAGTTGGAGGAAAGCGTGCCGACGGCTGATTTGGGAATGAGATTTTTCAATTCCTGAAAGAGACACAAGAGTCGAGAGGTAAGAACAAAGAGAACAAATGTTAAATGTACATCTTACTTTTGAGTTAAAACACGGAATAATAAAAACAATTCTGACGATACAGAAAACACAAAGTTTACCTTGTAAACAGGCTGGAATTCCTCCGTGACGGCAAAGATGGTCTGGATGTTGTGATCACTCAGTTTCTGAACCAAATGGGCGATGGAGGGATAGTCCTATCAAAGGGTTCATCAACACAGGAAGAAACAAACACACATTATCAATACAAGCAGAATTCAGCTCCCATTTATAATCCCACACTGCTTGTCTGTGAAGAAACAACTCTTAGAAACTGAGACAATCAGTAAAAGCTGAAAACAGCACAGACGCCCAGTCAACTCTCTCTAGATACATCATGCAGATATACATAAATGACAAACTACATACATAGTAGTGGCTCATGGTGTACATGTCGTTCTCCAGGTGACACCTGCCATCGTTGGGCAGGACGATGCCGCCCAGTTTGCCGTCTCCAGCGAAGTGGAAGCCGGCGTCGGTGGAAAACACCAGCAGACGAGTCACGTTCCTCCAGCCGATTTGGTTCTGGGAAGACGGACACAAAGAGAGTCTTCTCCTTAATATTTTCACACGTTTACAAGGCACCAGACAAAAAACCTTTAAGCGCCTTCTTACCTCACAGACCGCCACCTGCATGATGGCATCGAAGCCCCCCTCTGGAGAGTCCAGGTTCCCTGAGATCTGCTGCTGACTGACCAGGCGATTGAACTCGTCTCCCTTGTCCGTGAGCTGCAGGACGTTCTTGTAGCTGAAGGGGCTGGTGCAGTTCTGGTTCCCCGTGCAAGGGTTGATGAGCCTGGCTGGAGTGGTGCTGATGTACGGCATGACCGTCTTCTCCACGAACGAGCCGAAGCCTAAAGAAAGGAGAACGTGTTTTTTTTTTTTTTTTAAATACTTGTACTCGTCACACGACAGCTTTTCAGTTGATTATTATCGAGTTGTTCTTACCGATCTTGAAGTCGGAGGTAATCCCCTGCATTTCCCTCATGAGGTCAGTGCCGAGGTTCTTGACGTTTTCCAAATCATCTTTCATGGAGAAGGAGAGGTCCATAAGGTAATAGAGGTCAATGGGGTAGTCCTCAGCACGCTTGAATTTCAGCTCAAAGGTCTGGGGTTCACCTAATGGACAAAACAAAACACATAGTGTTTAGTGAATTTAAGAGATTGTGACATTACATTAATTGTTTTTTTATATATTTCTTAAATTGATTTGAATCGTAGGGATGAAGGAGATTTTAAAGGCAGCAAAAGTCTTCAGCTATGACAAGCAATATTACTTTGAGTCTATGATAAACTTTTGGTCTTTTCTAAAACACATTTCAAACAAACTTAATGACTTCAACTTTGCTCCAGAGCTGGTCGACAAACATTGGTTTACCCAGATACCAAAGCTACAATACATGCTCTAAATAAAACACTTTGTTCTAACCTGCTCTGGCAACACAGTCAAAGACCCGCCTACAGAATATTTACCAGATCTGAGTGTCAGGGTGAGTTTCTGCGGCTGGATCTGGGTGATCTGCTCGGGCTTCAGTTTCTCGGCCACGTCCTTCTTGCGGTTGGTGACGGGCTTGTTCGTGTTGATGTCGATGCTTCCACGCGGGTTCTCAATCGTGGTCACGTTACAACTTCTCTTCTTCAGGGACTCCAGATCGTCACAGCGAGCCGACTTGGACTCGCCCACAGTGAGGAATTTCTGTGAAATAGCACAGGAGGTTTTTTATTATACTACATACATAACTCATGTCCTGAATATTGTTGCCTGGGCTTTAACGTCACACCAATCTGGACTTTACTTAAAATCCTAATATGTCACTGTATTATGTTCACAGACTTGTAGAGGGGAGATTTTGAAGGAAGAAATAAATTGATGTTTATACCAGAGGCAACAACTTGTTCTGCTTTTGTGTAATTATTTAGGGTACGAACGCTGCAGATACGAGTATTTCAACCTACGAGGCCTCTGGAATCAATCCATTGCACTTTAACTCTCGTTGTTTTTTTTGGGCAATTGTTCTTCAGCAGCAGGAGACGAGGAGAAACAGATGACTGGGGGAGCCTGGCTGAGAATATAGATTGGATGCACACGATATCCCACAAATACAAGACACCTATTGTTCTGAAGAACATTAAGTTTGTGGGATGAATACAGAAAATGAGAAAAAAAACTGTTTAGCCGATCTCAAATCACACAGGAAATAACATGCATAATATTGTCAGCAGTGGGCAGCATACACACCGTCCATGGTTTTTAGATCATGCAGTGAAATCAGATCATAAAGGCACAAAATAAGTACTTTGTTTATAAAGCTCTTGTAGCACTTTGAGAGCTGTACTTCAGTGATGGGATTCTTTGTAATTTTAGGGTTGATTTGGAGCGTAATGCCCTTTGACTTTGAGAAGATCAAACCACAGATACATCAGAGCTGCAGAGACATTTCATCTAAAGCAACCAAACACGACTGAGCTAAAAGTTGCAGTCGTGTTGTGATTACATGCGCTCAGCAGGAATGACAGTCTGCCGTCTGACGGAGAAATACGGGCAAGATTTAACAGGAATGCAGCTCTCGACATGTGCCGAACGGACAAAAAGAGAGATGTTATTCACCAAGAGACTCACCTTGGTGAGCAGTTTTCAGAGGAAGTACTGACTCACAGGGCTCAGCTGGCCAATCGAATCTCACCATTTTGGATGAATACGTTAATTGGTTGATGATACTAGGGGACGACTGCTGATGCTTTCAGGTAATCACAATATTTTGGAGATCGTAAATCATTAGTGATGGTGATACCACAACAAAGTAGGTCGAGGCATTCAAAAAAATGCTGTTTATGACTTTATTTTTGTGGGAATAAAGATTCTTCTCAAACATTTGTTGCACAGCACGACATACAATTATAATATTTGTCATCCTGCACTTTGTAGTCGCCACACATACATTTCATATTAACCTCTCGGTGCAGTAAAACAGTATTTTCCTATACTGTGGTCTGTTCCCTCAGAAGAGGACAGAGAACGTCAGATTAAAGAGGATTATACAGACAGAGTTTCCCTGTGAGACGAGAAGCAGCAGCACTCGTGTTTACATTTAATGGAGTTGTGGTCAACTTGTGTTTGGTCGAAAGGTCTCGAGAACGTCTTAAGTCTCTAGTACTGCTCTAGCTGTGTTTGTGCTTATAGGGCAAGTACAGTTTATGTATCTATTTGCATAAATAATAAAGACAAATTAATTAGCAAAAACAAAGAAAAATGTTCTTACTTTTTAAACCTTGCCTCCTTTTCAAATTAATAATAAAAACCATCAAATACATTGTTATGATATTTTGAATCATTGGACTGTATTTGTTTGTTAAATAGCTCTAACTGTTCTGAAATTAATTTGTCAAAAGGTGACATTTATATTTGTTAGATTGCATTATTTAATACTCAAGATGACGACTCCCTGCTGTGCTTGTTGGCTGTTTCTGTGCAATTCAACCATTAAGCAACGCTGCCACACAAACCACAAATCTCTGAGCGTGCCACGCCCGCAGTTTAAGAATCTTGTATATACCATTTCATTCATATGATTATTAAAAACACTTTACTGATTCAACTCACTTCATCTGCGCACCATCCACACATCTCTGCGACCTGGATGCATTCCCCACACGACTGTGCGTTGGCCTTGATGCATATGCTTCCCTCTGAAAAAGAGACAACACAAGGTCCTGTGAGCCAAGATGACAAAACCGAATTTCCATTCGTTCACTAACTCAAAACAGCTTCGCTTTTTTTTTTTTGGCTGCAAGACGCAACTTCCTCCCAGTCTAGAAAACCGAGTCACGCTGAGAGAAGCCCGAGGCAGCTCACCAAGTAATGACTTCACCTCCAACCAGCAGGACCCACAGTTATAAAACCATGAAATACAAGATGTGACGAGTGGATGAAAGTATTGCAATGTGCTTAAGAAACGAAGAAATCACAGAGAGAGGCTGTCAAGTGGAAGCATGATAATCTACATACACATGAAGTGGAACAATAAGTACTAAACTGTGTGTCTGTTAGCACAGCTGAGAAACATGCTACGCTACGAGTTAGCTAGTACTTAACAGCAAAGATAAGAAGAATGGAGCAAACGTTTAATAACTTTACAACCTTTTCTTGCTCTTACCTTGCTGCGCCCGGCTGCCACAGAGGACTGCCGACAGCGTCGCTATTAGAAGTAACCGCAGATCCATCTGTGACAAGAACAATGCAATGTGTTAACACAACATGGAAGAAACAGATCTGAATCAGACAGCTTTGTTACTCGTGTCAGTGACAGCTAACAAAAAGGGTCGCGTGTGTGCGTGTGTGTGTGTGTGTGTGTGTGTGTGTGTGTAACAGCAGCGTGTGCTTTGTAGTGGTTGTAGAGGTTTAATGTGAGACGGCGCTATCTTTATAAAAGATTGAAAGACGTACACATGTGGGAGTTGTGACCTCACGGCTGCGTTGTGCACACACACATAAGAACAATGTGATCCCTTTGTGATACACTACCAAGTGTACCATTAACACAGCAAGACCCCCCTCTTTAAAAGGCTCTCATGGACATGTGAGTCGTAAAACAATAGTTTGAATTTGAATGAGACCAACAGGATGAAAAACATTTAGGTTAACAACATCTTTCATGCTCTGTGCTGTGAAGACTTTATCCTGAAATACCTCCGTCACCGCTCGGCAGCAGAGGGGAGGAGCAACTCCCATTTGGTCTATTCCAAATATGGAGGAAACCATTTGCCCACACTCATCAGCACTTCCATGAAACCACACTACATACTTGCTTTCTGACTGGTTTGTGACGTTAAAGGCCTGTAGAGGTAGTTGGTTATCTCGATGGGGAATTTCAGATAAGACTCGACAAGAGAGAGAGAGAGACGCTTGAGGAGACAATAAAAATATGGCGTAAAAAGGACAGAATGGTCACATGTGAGGTGTTCGGTATCAACCACAGTGATTTGTAAGGAGTCTAACTAGACTTGTAATGACTGAAACAGAGCAGCAGCAGCAGCAGCAGCAGCAGCAGCAGCTTTAAGACGGCCGACGTTTAAAAGCTGCCACAGAATGTAACTGCAGAGGAATAACTGTGGTTCATGGAGAAGTCCCTTGATGCCTCTCTGGGGCTGCGGAGCATTAACCAACAGCAGTGTGACAGCAGCATGGAAATAGCTTTGTTGGTGGGTCAACATTTTTTACTAAAAACGTAAGCTAAGGTCACACCATGCCAGAAAAACAGAGAAAAAAAGGAAGGTGTGTTCACGTGTGTGTGTGTTCCCATATTTGGTCATGCCTCTTCCTGAGTCTCTGCCATTCACGACAACTCCAGTGACACACTTCCTCGACTTTCTGCCCAATCCTCAAAACTCAGACCAATTTTCTGTGCAGGAAAACCAGGCAGTGTAGACAGAAGCAAAGTCAACAGCTGAGCCCCAAAATAGTCCATCCCTGGTGGGATATGTTTACGCTAATATGCACATTGTCAGTGTCAGCAGATAAGAGTATATTTACATTTACACATTTACTTTTTACAGTTAACTATGACTGACGTAGAGGTAAAACTGGTGGCTGTACACAGTAGATGCACAGCTGTGGGTCAGAGCGTACAGGCATCTGCACCAACAACCACATCCTGTTAAATGCAGCCTAATGACCAACTTAGATGCGAGTTTAAGTGCTTTAGTGATAGTTATCAGACTGCTGTGGGGGGAAGGGTGAAAGAAAAACAAGTCTCCGGACATGATTGGACAAGATTAAAAGAACGGAAGCGAAACGCATTCACTTGAGAAAAGAAAATGTTTGCCCTGTTTTTCTAAATTAAGGAGATTATTATCTTGATAATTCTGAAGAAACTTTTCTTGGGGTTTTCCTGAATGAACAAGAAGAGCTTGATTTCATGGACACTTTGTTTGGTGGTTTTAAACATTGGGAGGTAATGACGTCTTTAAGTGATATAGATGGTTTTGTTATTAATTTGTCGACGGTACACGGGCACGGCACGCTGGACTAGCGAGTGACTGCTGTCATTTAGTTTGTTACCTGGTCAAGTGAACAGTTAGCCGACATAATTTGGCATGTAACTACTACCGTAGACTCCTACATGTATCGACGCTGTACTTGAAATCATACAGCTAGCACAGCTGGAGGCTGATTAGCAGCAGAAAGCGTACTCCATGCAGACGAGAGCTTTGCATAGGATCTTCAGGTATCTCGATAATTCAGAAAAACAGAGCAGAAATGACGAAATAATAATCTTGTAACGGACGTAAATCTTTTTCTGTTGATCAATAGACACTTTTCCCTTTTTAAATATACTTAAACTTTGACCCAAAGAACAACTTTGTGGCAAGACGGACAAAAAAAACATTCATCATACCCAGCAAGATGCCTCATAACATTCAAGCCACCACCAACTGAAAGGACTTTCTACACCATATCAGCGCTCCTCCCCAACATTCCTGAAGTACAGCTTTGTTTACCACTCTGGGGCTCGTCCCGCAAATTACAGAGAGCTGACAGATATTTGGGAGGAAGTCAGGGTCTCCACAGTAATGGCATTAGGGAGGCACTGGCACTTCATGATGGTTTTGGACACAGACTTCTACCCCAAATGAAATATTAAAAAAAAAAAAGACATCTTCTCCTATCTATCTGCTTTTCTTTACTTACATCTGCTCTTCTTCATCAGAGGAATGCATATAAGAGATAACTCAACTGATTAATATGACCAGCAGCAGTGTCACTTTTCAGAATCAAAAGCATTGAAGCGAGTGACAGCTGAATTATTGTATGACCTAAAAAATGGCGGAAGATCAAAGACAGCGCTGCTAAAAAGCTAACGTCAGCGCTGATAAGAGCTGATAGCGACAGCGGGCCGACAGAGGCCGATGACTCCCTGATCCACAACAGACTGAGGTAAAAACTGCTCCCCATAACTGTGAAACATGATAGAAGGCCAGCTGGTAACTGGTGAATTCCTGAATTCACTCTTCCAGCAAAGGTCTGTGTGTGTTGGTCACTGAACCAACTACTGCCTCCACAAATAGACCACATTCCCTCCAATGCAAGACAACGTCTTAACAGCAGAAAGTGATCCTAATGATTCTACCTCCTGAAAGTACAGCACCATCTACGAGTTGTATCTTGTCTTTGTTTTTTATAATCCAAACTATGAGGCACCTGGTTGCAGCTACTGTACTCAATCTGTCCCACATATCAGTTGAGTAAATCATCCCTATGTGGAGCAGACACTGGTGTATGAGCCATCTTGATGACGGACCTGAGAGCCTAATATTTAGAGTACCAGGAGCATGCCGTGTTGGATCATGACTTTGTATGGTCAGGCTGGAGAACACGAGAGGCAACGCATGCTTTGTGCTCGCGATGTTCAACGTTAGCGTCACAATTTTTATATTTACAATTCTACCTCTGTTAATAGTAGCAAGACCCGCTCAGCTCTTTCCAAGACACGTACAGTAAATGAGGCTTTGGACTGGACTTTATCAAATATGGACGTGTGCGACAATACAAAACAGGCTCTTGCTTTCTATAGTGTAGATAAAACAGGCGTCGGCAGAATTTAACTTATAAATACTCAAGCTGTCGCCTCAAATTGCAAAGTGCAGTGGTTAAACAAATCAAAACTAATCACAAGTATTCATCTGAAACAAGTAGTTGCTTAATTGATTAGTCTTTAACACAATAATTGGGAAATCATTTCCACCATTTTTTTATTATTTTTCTTTTTTCTAGTTCCAGCTCTGCAAATATGAGGATCTGCTGCTTTTCTTGGTCATTTACGACAATTAACTGAATATCTTTGGGTTGTGGACTGATGTTTGGGAAATACTGGTATTATGAAGACGCCAACTGAGGCTCTAGGAAATTGTAATGATTGATTGATCATCAACCAGCTCAAGAAACTTTACAAATTGTCCAGATTCCAGATATAGAACATATTGTAATGTCATGTAATAAAAAGGTTTGATATAATCAAGAGGCCTCTGGTTGGTCTGAGAGGGTAAAGACAAACTGCACACTAGATAACATCTATTGGGTGTAATGGAGACCTTCTGTAATACATTTTTTCAGCATTTTTTTTAGGTCTAGTGCTCGTCTAGTTTCTCAAGTCGGAAAAAAACAACCTTGCCAATCAGAGCTGGATTGAGGATGGTAATGTCAGCCAGAAAGCGATGACTGTAAAAATCCACACAAAAATGACATCGCTTTAAAGGTTGTACCAAGTAATCAACTGGATGAAATTGCCCCTTGCAAACAGACTTCCTTCAGCTTCAGTGAAAACTGGAAAATGACTTTGGCAGGACCGATAGGTCTCCCACTACTGAACGGTTAGGGATAAAATAACAACCGCTCTTTACCAATTTAGAAACCTGGCGAGGTCCGGCTGTTCAAATCTGGCTTTATACAATATAATCTGGTGATTCAAAACCTGTAGATTAATGTATTTTCCTGAAATACTTGTGTTATGTATAGTCACTGGCAAGAAAGAAGAGTAATAGTAATGCAACAGTCAAAAATCAGTGAAGAATTCAGTCTCACCTTTTCTATAGAGAATCCTAGATTAAATATGTAAACACTAGCTGCTTGCTATAAAACCAATACAATAGCCCAGCTTTCAACACAAGCAGTGGGGGGGAGTCACAGGCCCAGACAAATGTTTTATCAAGAAATGTCTCCCAACAGCTGCTGACTGAAACTCAATCCTCTGCAGCGCCTTGATTCAATCTGCAAGTCAGAAAGGACGCCTCAGGTAGCAGCGCCATCACAAAGCAGAACGCCTTCCTCTGCTCACACGTGTAGGCGTGTTGAAAATAATCACACCCTGTGCGACATCTCGGCCTACCTGACAGTGTGATGACGTATCGGGATTTCTGGATATTTCAGGAGTCACTGAATTAGCCAGAAACAAATCACCATCTTGTTGGTTTTTTTGTTGCATTTCCAGAAAATTGACTACAACACAATACTACCACAATATGTCCATATGCATTCAGTTTATGAGGTACAGTAAGCATGGCGTCTTTTCCCGAAACCAGGGTGAGCTTCAGAGTTTAACAGGAGGGCGTTGAATCAGACGTGTGTCACCACTACCTCTTTGTTTACTCCTTCCTCTGCTCATTGACTGGTATTATTTAGGGAAGCGCCCTGTGCAAAGTCTGGAGCATGGACATCCTCTTGATGGGACCACTATGGGTATTTATGTCCGTTTAAGTTAATACAGCCACTGAACTGAACAAAAAGTCTCATTCTGGTCTCAGTCTGGTGGTATGTGAGCTTCTGTGTGTGTGTGTGTGTTGTATTATCTGATCCAAAGACAAATGATGTTGATGAACTCTGCAGATTATCTGCCTTCCTGCAGCTCATGTGGCTTTGAGCAGACAGGCCCGGTGTAGTCTGAAGGTGGAGCGAAGCACATCTGTGAATATTTACTAAACCTGAACAAAGTCCACGTTTAGAACCAACGGGTCTGATACTGCTCCTCCATATGGTTGAGTTTATCGTATTCTGTACCGCTGTCACAAACACTTTGACTTTGGTGTGACGACAAATATGACACACACTTAAAAACGTGAATAAGAAAACACTAAAATCTTTAAAATGGTAAATGTATGCCCCTCCCCCCTCATAACCCTCTAACAGATGTTTACAGAAGGAGTTTCCTGCTCAATATGTTTTGTTGGCGATGCACAACTTCCTCCTCACTGAACACCGGCAGAGAGAAAAAGATGTGTTTTAAGTTGTCTGGCACCTGATTGTGAGTTGTGTTGAAATGAAGTCGGTAAACAAACAAGTCTCACAATGCACTACATGCCAAAACAACGACAAACGAGCTAAATGAATGACATAAATACATAAGCAAGCAGACAAAAACACAGCTAATAACCACGATTCCTCTTCGTGCATCGGACAAGCTAAAGTGGAAGTAGTTGCAAAAGCTACCACAGCTCTAGCTGGTGTCTCTGTGGTTCCTCGCTTCATGCGAGGTTAACCACAGTGTGCATCATTAACCCCGATGGTGTGTTTTTTCTCTCGTGAAAACAAAACAGAAGTGTACATTCAAGTGTACAATGTGAGCGCGCACATGTTGCTTAAATACTCGGAAAAAGTGTCCCAGCTTCAGGGCAGATTGTGTCTCATGTGCTTGTATTTTAACACCATCTCCATGTTTTTATACGCTCCTCCAAGAGCTTTTTATATCCACTTTGTTACAGGACACAATCCAAACAATGTTATACATATCTCTCCCCCTCCTAATATCAAACTGACCACTTCCATATCTCGCTTTGGTGATCCAACAGCTATGGTGTATTTAATAATGAATGCTGCTGCTAAAGAACTCCTGTGAGCAACATGCAGAGTGATCGGTGGCGTTCAACACAAGTGGGCATTGTTCACGCTGGACGGGTCATCTGGTGGTCCGCAAACTGAGTTACACCCCCCCACCCCAGCTCCGGTCAGCCAGCCGGCCCCCCACCTGCTGCAGAAAGTCAAAGTCCACTTTCAGTCCATTAGGTCCCCCAAACAACTCAGCATGACTCTGCATCCATTTCCTCTAATGAAAGCCCCCCCGCCCCACAGGAAGAACAGCTCGCCTCTGACTGTAAACACGGTGTGTTTGACGGAAACCAAACAGACGAGCAGGAAGACCTGACGAAGCTCGATACTCAACTTTAAAGTGCCGTCAAATTAGATGAGTGACTCAGTGAAGTCCGTTTCTTTAGGACACGTTTTGACCGTCTGACATCCAGCGGACTATTAAAAAATAGTTGATGGGATTGTTGAAAATGTTTACTGTCCTTTTCCTACGATAATGCATGTGTTTATCCGGTGTTTAAACTAGTATTACTATCAGTAAGATCCCAACATACCACAATATTACCAAACTACATTACCAACGTCCCAAAAAGAAAATAAAGAGAAAGTATCAAAACTACTTAGCATAACCGTTATGTGGATATAAAAGTAGAATGATCAATAATAGCAAAGCCAGACGTGATCATTCTGACACACATGAACATATTTACGTTTGTTTTAACAGCTCGACAGCGTAGAAATAGTTTAAGTCAGTCTGACGTATATTTGTTTAAGTAGTAGGAGTTGTGAGACCGGTCTGGGGTTTGTCCGTCATGTGGATGAGACCCTAACCTCTCACCCTCAGAGAGATGAGATAACACATTCCATCTTAACTGCCTCCATACTATGTTGAGGGAAAAGCACTACGTCACTGAAATATGGGGATGTTTTTCCACTCATTTCCAACCTGAACCAAGAGTTCACTCAGCCAGTGAGTATGACGACATGTTTAGGCATAAAAACTAGTTGAAATACTAGTGAAGTATTAAAATGTTGTTTCCTCTCAAGCTTTCTTTCACGTAAATTACACTCACTGAGGCTGGATTCCATTTCCAACACTTTATAAAAGATATCTTGTTCCCTTCGGTGTTTTAAAAACAGTTTTTAACATCGTCTTGTATCAATGTAACTGATGAGAATGTTGAGGATTCATCTGTGACATTTATTTTGATACATTAGTCTCTTGAAGTCCTTTGTAGAGCGGCCACTAACAATTATTTTCCTCATCAATTAATACAACAACGTCAGTTATTGATCAGTTAATGAGGGTCATAAACAAATGAAAGATTAGCATCCCTACGTAAAAGCATAGGACCGTTGAAATGTTTGTTTGGGACGATTAAGGTTTGTATAAACTTGTATTTAAAGCACTGGTTTCGGATCAGCATCGAGAAGTAAAAGATGGCCTTAAATCATAGATCACTTTAAATAAATGACAAACTATTTATTGATAAACAAAAACGTTGACAATTCAATTTATGTGATTTTCTGACAGATTGACTCAGCCGTAGTAACTCGTCTCTCCTTTTTCTGACTATTGGTTGTACTCTGGTCTCAAGTTTGAACCTTCTCAATATTCTGTACACCTAACAAAGAAATAAAAACAAATCCATCAATTGTCTTGTGTTTCTTGCCACATCTTCGGAGGACTTCCTAAATGTAACCACAGAGTGATGGAGCCATGTAGGGATGTCTTAACGTCTGAACCATGATCACATACAAACATACCCTTCCCTGCAATGACTTGTCTGGCCTTCACTGGAAGACCAGATCACCCATGATGACTCACATCTGACAGGTCGGGGGGGGGGGGGGTAAAAGCCTGGGGTTGAGTAACGCCGAGTGACCCTGCAAACTGCCCCAGACACTCCTTGTTTTAAGCACCACAACAATGTAACTACGGGAAGTGAGTCAGTGATCTACGGGGAGCTCGTCTAAAATTACCAGGCCTGGTGCGTATCATCTGCAGCCGTGTTAATGTGTGTGTGTGTGCGCTGCATGTAATCAAAGGCAAACTTGTTTTAGGATTCTGTCTGTAGGCAAACACAGGCTAGTAATCAACCCAAGGTTTTATTCTGTTGGCCCCAAATTAGGCCTTGGTGGACAGAGATTACTAGTTCAACACAACAAGCCTCTCCCTGAGATTAATAAGGGAGAAGAAGAAGAAAAAAAACACTCCCTCAGGGTAGAACTCCTTTACAGGAAGTGAATGAGGGGCAAGACTGATCTTGTCTAACTTACATAGTGCACAGTCAACACTTCAGAAACAGAGGCTCGAGCAGGACTGAACAAGAGGCTCGAGAGTCTGGTTAACCAATCTGGCTTTAAGGTCTCACTAGATCCTCAACCGCAGTTTATAGAGTCCACAATGTAGTCTGACCAGACTGGGGTCCAGCTGTGGTTTGCTTCTGGATATCCTTTACAGCTCGACCTTCATTTCAATGTTTGTGGCTTTGTCTTACAGAAGAGGAGGTTGTTTAGTTTTCTTCGTGAATATTTTGGCCTAAAGGCATGAGATGTGTCGCAACTTTAAATTAAACGCTCCTTTTCGTAAATGTACAAACACAAATGTTAAAGACATCTGCAGAGGGGTTTTGTGGGACAAATGGACTCAAGTGCTTTAAGAGCATTCCTAAAGAAAACCAGCTGCTTTCTGAAATATGATCTTGATGAGAAAAATCTTGGTTGATGATTCTGATGACTGTGGTCATTAACTAAATCAGAAAAAAGACCAAACCAAGCACTTATTCTCTCATAAATAGTGTAGCTTGACGAGCTTGCTTTTCAGTATAAAAGCTCCTTAAATTAGGTATAAAAGCTGAACCACAAAACTGTTAATATATCTATCGTTTAGGGAAATAAACAAAGAAACACAACAATACCAAAGTAACTTCACAAAAAAAAAATTTTTCGTGCAGAAAACAAATTCACAACTGAGAGTAAATTAGTTTTAGTCAGTTTTAAACAGTAAAAGCCTTTGTTGTGGTTCTGACTTTCGGTTAAAAGCTACTACGAGTATAATCATGTTTTTAATAGTTAATCAGGACTTAAACACACTATCTCCTCATACTTTAACCCACCCATACTCTTTGGTCATGCAAAGCGGCTCAATGGCCTACTTTCTGCACAAAAACCCAAATTAAGATGTATTGAGGGACAGATTGAGGTGTATGTTGGAATATGCCAACATTTCAAGTCATGTTATTGAAACCATGTAATGAAAAGGAAATAAAACATGTTTTAAAAACCGTCTTTCGACCTAGACCTCGTTAATAATCCACACCCAAAGTTTGCCCCGAAGAACAGAAAAGACACATTCCTCGCTTCTCCCCCTTTTTGTCGTCAAATGTGTGGGAAATAAAATGTCAGTTGAAATAACAACACTCACCTTAATGTTGATGCTAAACTGGCGTTTTCCGATGATTTAGAGAAACATCAGCCCGAAAAACAACGGTCCCCTCAGAAAGAAATAAGAACGAGGACTCAACGTTAAGATACAAACTGTTACAAGGGTCCGCTTTGTTGTAGCGAACTGAACGCACGTTGAGTTTCCGCTCACCACGCGCTAACGGTCGACGTTACTTTACTAATAAAAACACCATTTATTAACATGGATAATATTTTTTTTTTCCTGGATCGCCCGAACACGTTACAGCCGCTGCTGCTGGGTCGCTTTTTCTTTTTTTTTTTTTTAATGCCCCAGTTCTTTCTTCTTCTCCTTCTTCTGAGTTATAGACCCCGCCTACACAGGAAGAGCAGCGGCACGTAGAGGCCGAAGGAACGAACACACCGGAGACCGGTGAACCCGGCCTCACCTCGGATGCGGTGAATGGTTCCAATTCACACACACACACCTACACACCTACACTCACACACATACACACACCTACGCGCCTACACACTTGCACACACACACACAAGGGAATATAGGTCAAAATTATTTTATATTTAAGCACATTTTTTGAGCAGTGGTGCAAGAAGTATTAAGAGCCCTTAGATGAGTAAAAGTACTTATACTACACGGTGAAAATACTCCACTGAAGGCTAAGTAAAATTTCTGCATTCAAAATCTTACTTTCGTAAAAGTATGAGCAGCAATTTACTTAAAGAGTTAAGCCTACACATTGTGCAGTAAAATGTGGCCTGTCAGTGATGTTTTTGGATAATTATTACTGTTGCGTTAATGTGTGTGTGTTGCATTGTACTGCTGTGGGTGTTAAAAGTTGTGCTTGTGTCAACTGCATTGTATACTGTTGGGTAGTTTAATCAACAGCAATGCTTTGCATCATATTCTATAAGATCATCATATGTTTGTAACTGTAAAATTGTAATTCAAAATCACAGTTAAAGTTGCATAAAACGGTATTGTGTGCATTAATATTATACTTGTAGTACAGCAGGTGAGTACAAAAAATGTCAAGCAACATTTTGGAGAATTGTGTGTAAATGACGAAAAAAACACAACACTAGTATTTCAGTTTGATGTAATGGTGCAGCATGTGTAGTCTTCAGTTTGAATATTTCACTTAATTTAAGTATCATATAAAGCTGGAAAGAGGCGATACAGAATATGCTACTCAAATGGAAATTGTTGCTGTAATTAAATGTTAACTTAATATATTTTGGTGGAAAACCAAAAGGAGAAGCATGAAGCCAGATGGGGAAAAATTGTCATTAATAATAATAATTAGAGCGAAGCAGTGAAGGAGCTGAGAGCCGATGACCAAACATCCCACATTTAGCCTCTTTCCTCACTGTTAAGATGTGTGATGAGTATGAAACAGCTGATGCTGCCAGCTGGACAGATGACACATGAAGTCACCGTCACCATTCCTTTAACATCACCGCAGAATCATCCCGGCACATACTTCTGATAATCCGCTCAGGCAGAGTTCATGGGGTTCTAATTTCAGTTTCACACACTTTCATAGCTGAGAAAGACCAAACACATCCTCAGGCTTCTGAGCGTGAAGGGACTGTGTTTATTGTTGTATTCTCCCCCTTTGAGATACTCCGAAGAGAGACAAAAGGAGCTGCCGGCTTCTATTGTCCACCATGTTTTCAGCAATAAGTTCCACGTACATTTTAGCACAGAGACCCTCCAGAAGACAAGTAGACCGTGCATGAACCCCTTTAAGGCCCTTATCATTTGAATCAATTGGTGTGATTTAGTGGTGGAAATTCCCAAACTTACTTAAAATGAATCAAATTAATACAAACAAACTGACATAGAGTGAATAGTTTTTAATCCAGCCTTGACATCATTAATTAAAGTGTTTGTCAAAAGTTAAAAAAAAGATGATAAAACTTGATAAAAACAAAATCCCCTGATATATATTCAGTTGATCTGGCTGTGTGAGTCCAGCGGCAGCAAATGGGTGAAACGGTGGAAGCAAACGTATTGATGGTATTGTTTGTTATGTTTAATGTGCATTTACAACTTGTTTTTGCCCTACTTTGTGTTCTAAATGATCAATCGCACAAGAATTAAAAGCTTTTATAACCTCAACTGATTCATAAGCTACAACTGTGTGGAGGCAGATTGTGTTGCAGAAGCCAATGAGTCAGGATAACAGCACTGAAACTCTCACAAATGAGACAGCGGACCTGAGAAGTACAACTGCAGACACTGAAACCGGCAGGGTGTGTGAAAGTGGTACATTGGCACCGATTTGGGCAGGAAACCTCACCTAAACCGAAGCCACATGACTGAAGTTCACATGAGATCTCACTGAGCTGAAAGCTGCAGTTTGATGTCGCTCATAAAACACATTCACTGATCTGAGGAAGACAGTTTTATGAGAAATGTAGAGATTAGTTTGTTTGCTGGTACACATGAGCGGTTAGAGAGGCGATGCTGCCACTCGGTGGTTAAAGCATGGTGTAGCGTGCAGACGGTGACGCTTGCACATGAATTTAATTACTACACACACAAGCCAATCCACCAATTAAGATCAACACTTCCTCTGTGTCCTTAGTCAGGGAATCACAAGCTAGTAGAGTATAGTTCACACTGGAAATGTGCAAAATGAAATATAGGCCCAAGAACAGTTAACAGAATAGGTAACAGTTGTTAAAACAAAGATCCCCATGAGGTCTATGTGTCGCTGTTCTGGAGCTTTCGACTGAATCACACACTCTTCCTCAGCAGATGAAGTTCATGAGACAGACATGCGAAAGCTCCCACTGGTCATCTTTCCTACACAGGAGCAAGATTTTGTGATGCTTTTTGCCTCTTTTTTTGTTGTTTTGAGTCTCTTTGTGGACATTTAGTGCCTCTTTGTGTTCTGTTTATGTATCTGTGGTTGTTTTGTGTCTGTTTCTGGTCATTTTATGTCTCTTTTCGGTCACTTTGCCTCTTAGTGGTCATTTTGTGGTTGTTTTGTGTCTCTTTGTGTCTCTGGAGTCATTTTGTGTCTCTTTGTGGTGTTTTTATGTCTCTTTGTATTCCTTTTGTGTCTATTTGTAGTTTTCCGTCTCTCTTCGTGATAACTTTGTCTCTTTGTAGTACTTTCATGTTTCTTTGTGGTCATTGTGGGTCTCCTCCTGGTTGGTACGCGTCTCTTTGACTGACATTTTGTAGGTGAAGGCCTGAGGGAGGCCTGACACTTTGTGCCTCTGGGCCTGTGCCCAATTGGCCCGTTCAGTAATCCTTCCATTAACTTACCTCTTAGTGGTTTCCACCAATGCAGATAGTCTTTGCTAAATTAAATTTACAGCAACATCTATTTGTAGAAAAAACATCCCCATTAATCAGGGCAATCCAAAGAACAAGGGGACTTTTTCTTCAATAAAATGCAGCTCCACTGAAGCAAACCAAATATCTCCATCACTAGAAACCAGTAGAGGTTTGTAATCCGGCCAAACTGACCCCGTAAAACGACCCATTCCCTCTCTGAGGTAGGACACAAACAGCAGAGCGGCTTTTACTTAAAACATTTATTTGATCCAATTCTTTGGAATGTAATAGTCAATGATCAGAGTCCGAGACAACAGAGACAGATGAGTCTGGGTGCTGACCAGAAAGTCAAAGTACAAACAATACTTTTAGTCACTTAAGGCCTCACTGCTTTTCCTTTTTTTTTTACTTCCTTATTTCCTTTCTTGTTTTTTTTCTGGATCTGAGACAGCAAAAAAATTACAGATGCAGTTCGAAAAAAACATTTCTTCTTGTCATACAAAGAAAACAAATGAAACAATAACACGTACATCAGTGACAGTACAAAAACAAGGTGATATTATACCAAGTAAATAAAATTGTTACGTTTCAAAAAGACGCATATAAGCTTTGTCGAGATTGAAAAACATCTCCGTAAATTGTACTTTTCAGAGTTCTACCATTGTCATCTGAAACAGCGTTAAAAAGAAGCAACAATAACACTGTCCTCTCCCTTTCCGTCTTTCTCTCTTTTCATAAATCATCATAAACACAGATTCTTTTTTTCTTTTTAAATATATCAGTGCAACATTTGTTTTCACATCTAGTGCTGCAGCATCCCTTCTTGTCTGGAGGAGAAGGAGCATTATTGAAACACATTCTTGTCAGACTGAAATGACAACATGATACCCATAATCTGGTGTTTTTTTGCTGTAAACATATTGATATATTTGAACCGGTGTGGCTCTCGAGAGCTTACAATGAAACATCTCAACAGTCGGAGCACCTTCATTTGATTGCAAATGTGACTGCAACTAGACGATGATTGAATTCAAAACGTGTCTCTAAAGAATCGATGAACAGTCTTCACTTCACATTGTGAGCTCACACGATGCCAAATAATGCTACATTAAAAGAAATGAGCAGATTGAACTGAAGACCAACACGCTGTGACCAACATTGTTCTGCCAGCGGGGGCGCGTCGAGCTATCCCGCCTGCGTAATGGCTTTTTAATCTCTGTAAGTAAAGTATCTGTCAGCATTAAGTCCTGTTCCTTATCTCAGAGTGAACGTTAAACATCTGTTGGAGGTTGACGAGGTTATTGACTTTTGACCTTTCTGGCTTTTAAAGACTCAATCCTACCAGCTGTACAGTGCTATGAACAAGTGACGAGTATCACAACACATTCAGCTACCAAAGCTAAAACACAACAAAGCAGTTTTATTAGTACAATATTCATGAGGCTCTTTTTTTTCAGATTTTAAGCAAATTTTCCAAAAATGAAGAATGTTCAGATGCTTTTAAAATGAATCAGTTTGATCTAATTTTCATCAAATGTCCTCACTTGAAGTCCCTGCTGTCAGAGGGCGCTGATCGCTGTAGATTGCAGTATGCAATGTTGACCAAGAAATATAAAATGGGGATAAAATGCAAAATAAGCTGCAGCAGAATCCCTCAGATCAAACAAAGGGATTTCACTGCTGATGACCTTTTATGTTTTTTAAAATAAAATAATGAGCCCTAATGATTTACGAGGCATTCTGTTGGGTCTCTGCTCTGATTAGCTTTAAATCATCTTTCTTATTAAACAATGTTACTTCACTGTGTGTGTTTCTTAAACCCTGTCTCCTACATAATTACATGGCACTGCACTCTCAATCACGTTTGGAGGAAAACCTATCTTCTCCCGTTATTAACTGTCATCGTTTTAAACAGTTTTAAACAAAACAAAACAAAAACGCTACGGTGTACTTTAATAAGTTGAGGCAAAAGAAATGCAGGTTTAGTAAAAACATCGAACCAAACACAACCAAAAGTACTTGTTT